AAAATGAAGGCAGTTGCGCGTGCAGGGTAACCCACAGCAACCCGCACCTTGGCCGACCAGCCCACAGATACACACATACACACATATAAGCACACATGGGACATTGGGGCGTATGCGTTTCATTTCGCATATGCATAAAATATACAGCGTGGGGCTTTGGGTTTTCTTTTCTTGTTTTTTTTTCGTGAAGCGCCTCAAGGCGCAGTCACTGGCATTGCTCGTTACACACATACACCCTGCTACACACAGGGTGACTCGGTTTGGATTTTGGCAGCAATAAGCGCAAAGCTTAATAACAGTTCAATGCAGATTACTGGGCAAATCCTTGTGGGCATGCGATGAGCGAAGCAATTGCCACAATGTTTGCCTTCTTCTAATGCAAATTTCTTCCCCAACTCTCTCTCGCTCTCTCTCTCGCTGTCTCTTGCTGAAGTACTTGTGGCTGACGCATCCTTTGCATATTTATGTGTATATATGCGGGTGTGTGTGTGTGTGTGTGTGTGTGTGTGTGTGTGTGTGTGTGTGAGTGTGGTTACTGTCAGGCAGCAACAACATTTTGATTGGCATTTGCATAAGCAGTTCAATGCAATTGCATGCGGTTTGGGCTGCCTTTCAACATACTTTTTCAGCGGATTGGTTGAGACCCAGCCCCAAACCCCAAATTGGGGGGTCAAGCATATGTGCAGCTGTGTTTGCCTAGCTATATGTGCATCTATATATATATAGAGATATATGCACTGAATATGGCTATATTCAGGCACATGCTGTCGTTTATATAGCTATTGCCGTTTATGAATGTGGCCGCTATCCTGGCGAGGTCATTCGATTTGCTCATGCATGAAAATGTTCGCATTGCACTCATAAAAGCGGAAATTGAAAATATATAAATCTTACACAAACACACGCGCGCGCCCGCTCGCACATTCAGCTGGCAATAGGATATTGCATTTTGAGCGGCTGCCAGTTGCAGGACATCAAAGTGCGGCCATTGTAGCATACTGCCTGCAAAAAGTATGCAGAGATGCGCATTGTACATGCTTCTAATTATTCGCCTGATAGAGTTGAACATGGTTAAATATGATAATCATCATACAAAAGGATGCTTATATCCTTGTGTAATAAATTGCAATAAATAATTAGTTTTGAAAGCATAATTGATATCTTCATATTGTGAGCTTAATTAATTGTCTAGCAAAATTGGTTTTCGTTTAAAGTCGAAGGCGTCTTGAGAACAATTATCAAATATGATTTGTGTTCGGATAAGGTTTTTTGCCATGGAAATTATTTGAATTTGATTCTGAGTGAGCAAAGAAATACATAAATATAGAAATTAGGGGAACATAAAAGGTAATGGTGAAGCTTGTAATGGAAATTTAACAGTGTAACACGGACTTTGTCGTTCACATTTTTGAATTATATAATTATATTTATTTTCAAAAATATTCGTGCTCACGCTCTCATCATAGAGTTCTTACTCTCTCTCTTAAGATATCAAAATACATCTGTTCTTCTTTTTGCAATATTCGTAAATGTTTCACTGACAAGACAGTCTTAAATCGGATTTGTTTTTAACAACCTTGAATGAGTTGATTATTACTATTATTACTATTAGAAACTCTCATTATCAAGAGCTTACTCTCTGGAGAGCGAATATAATTCATCAGTTCTTCGTCGTGTAATATTCGTAAATGTTTCACAGACAGGACAATTTAAAATCTGATTAGGTTTTACCTATTCCAATTGAAATATTCGTTTACACTTTCTTATTATAAAGTCATTGATCTTTCGAGAAAGCATTCATTTTCTTATTCCGCTTTGTGTGGCATTCGTAAATGTTTTACTCAGAGTGCTGCCTGGCTGGAGATTATTAGTGGAAAGCAAACGGAAACAAGATTCTTTTATTTATTTTCTATGTAAGAAGCAATCATATGAATATGTAAGAATTGTTATATGAATCATGTCAAAAGGCTGCTTGGCTCTTGACTTATCCTCGAAGATAAGATTAAGGAACATAAAAAGGAATTGAAGAGCAAATTTATGCTCAATTTAATGTACTAAACGGCAAACTCCGCAGAACCAAGTGCGTACGCAATCTATTTGAGTGATAAGCGGGAGATGGTGAAAACGCCAAGCTAGGCAAAAGAAGACTTAGATAGCATTAAGCATACACACGGACATAAATCCCCGAGTGTTCAGCTAAATGTGCCCGAAAGTGATGAACATGAACAAGCAGAGTTTTCCCCATTTTCCGTTTTCGCTGTAATAAATCTGTGCATGCAATGAAATGTAACACGAGATATTGAATTCGATGCTGTAAAAGTCGATGGGGCACGGGCCACGGGGCACGGGGCATGGTGCACGGTGTCGGGGTTAGGCCAAACCAGGCCAGTGTTTGGTGTGTGATAAAGAAAAGTGGCAGCAAATGCGGAAGAATAATGCGACAGCACGAACAACAGGCAGCTGGGTGGTGGTGCGGAGGGCTGCCACAGATGCCGAGGGGCGGCTGCATTACAATGGCAAAAAATGTAGGCTGGCAGAGAAACCGAACTAGAGAGAGAGAGACTGAGAGGGAGGAGAGCGCGGGACAAGGGGACATACATACAATTGAGACAATGCAACGCCCGCAACACGGAACAAGAACAATTGCAATGCGGCAACTAATATTTTATGCGTAAGAGCAACACAGATATGGCCACAACAGCGAGGGTCGCTCAATAAGTTCGAAAAGTATTAGAAGTGGAAACTCGAATGTACAAAAAATAATAAAAATATAGGGTTAATGAATGAAGTCGTGAAAAGAGCTGAAAGAAGATGAAAAAGGAAATGTTATATGTGTGATCAGATCAGAGTCTTTAAGTGGCTAGTGTTACCTGCCAGGGTTGCCATACTTGTAATTAATCAAACTATTAATAAATGAGAAAAATAATAGTTGTGTTCTAGGACTTTTACTGATATAAATTATTATATGATAAAATAAACAGTTAGGGTTTTTAACAGCTAAATATGATATGTGTGTAAGATAAATTAATTCGACAGAGTTACCACATTTCAAAAGCTTGAACTAGTACTCCACTAATTTTCTAGGGTTACCCGCATAAGTCTAGGCGAATTCTACAGGATTTTCACAAGTATCATTAAACAGCCCCCAGAAAAAAATAACTTTTCAGGTTTATTACAGCTAGAAATGATAAATGATAAGACGACAAGAAAAAACTAGTTGCTGTTTGCACATTTAAAAGCGTTCCCAGAGGAAATGAATTTGATTTTCCAAAAGGACTTCAGTTTGAAGTCACAGAAAAAAAGTTTTATGTTGTACAGAGTTGCCACAGTTTAAGAAACTGGGTGCCCAGATGAAATTTCACAGTTAGAAAAAATAAAGTGAAATGAAATGGAACGAGAAGAGAGACAGAGGGGCGAGATCTTGTGATCGATATATTAAATCAGCAATCGATAGGTTTTATGTCGAATCTGAAACTTACATTGCTTCTGAAAAACTTCACCAATTCGAGCACAAGACACGCAGAAATAGTTTAAATAGTTTTACACAGACTCTGAGCCAGTGTAAAATACCGCAAATGGATGTGTCAGGGTATTTAAGCAACGTCACGAGATAGTTGCTTGTTTTTTCCTTCGTCTTCTTCGGCTTCTTCTTGATGCTGTTACAGTTTTTTCTTAACATGCTTGTGCAATTTTCCATTAAGGGAATTAGTTGCAGAACAACAACAACAAAATGAAGTAGACCAAACGGCCCAGCTCCAAAAGACAGCGACAAAATGGCACAGCACTAACGTACATAGCAACTTATAAGTAAGATTGTAAGTAAGTATATGCACAAGGAGCATGTGCTGATTTATAGAAGGTGACAGATGTGGACACCGAATGATAACAAGCTTTGCCCAAGCTGCTTCTTCTATTCTTCTTCTTCTTTCTGCTCATTCCCATCTGTCCCAGTTCCCCCCCGGACGCAAAACGTAGCGAAAATTTCTATCAAATGTTGGGTTTCTGGAAAAATGGCGTTCTGCTTGTTGTTGCCGGAGATTTTCTCGACGCCTTTTCCCGTCGAGCATTGCAATTGCCCCCGTCTGTCGGCTGCTGTTGTAACAGCTGCAACTGATGTGCATGAAAAGTGGTTTTCGGAGCGCACAAAATGCTTCGAAAATGGTGGCAACGCCATCCCACATCCCCGCTTCCAAAAAGAAAAACAGAAAAAAAAAACTATCAGAAGGGCATGGAAAATTCGTCGCTGCGCTATAAATTAAAGTGTTGTCAGAGTCTCCATACCACATGTGGCATGTGGGCAAAAGTTCACACTAAATTTATTATATACATACATATATATATATATATTTTAAGAAAGCAAAAATTGTACTGACGCGATTTAAAGTTAGGTTAAATGCATATAAATGTTCTGGAATAAGGCATGTTACAAGTAAGAAGTGAATTTATTTAAATAAATAATATGTTTTGATTCTAAAAGCGTAATGTATTTGATAGCAGGGGAGACAAGGTATACATTTTATTTTCAGAAAATAATATTGTAGACATATGTCCTGCAAGCAACAGAAAGGCGGACCTATGCAAAGTTTCAAGACTTGAAGACGCATAGAAACAGACAGACGGATGGAGGGAAAAACGGACATGGCAATATCAATATCAGCCTGGCTGTTGATGCTGATCTAGAATATATATGCTTTTTGGGGTCGGAGATGCCTCCTTCTAGGCGTTACACATTTAATAACAAAATGATAATACCCTCTACAAGGGTACAAAAGAAACTACTCAAGTAATCGATTTATTCAATCGAAATATAGTAAAAATCTGAGTACTATAGCTGCAGACCTGCTGGCCATATAGCTTTCAAAAGAAAAACATTTAAAAAGCATAAAAAATAAAATATGTAGAATACAAAAGATCAATGTGCTCAGTATAATAATAAATATTGTTGACTTTGCAACGAGAATTTGTTAGAGACAAGTTAACGATATTATAACATAGCTTACCGGGGTATTTATTAGTCGGCACTCTTTGTTCTCATTTTTTTTCCGAATCTGAAATAAAAAGACTTGTTATTTCAATGCACATGATAGCAAAAAGTATTTAATTTTGGACAAAGGCAAGTGTTTCTTTCTGTTCTTTAAACATTCAAAGTTTTTAGTTGTCAGATCCAAAGTTTATTTAACCTAACCTCAATTTTTTATTCATAGGGTTAAAGCTTTTAAGATGAAATAAATTGTGTAACCAAGTGAAGTTTTAATTGTATTATTGTTTTTACAACTTAGCTCGTAACGATTTGTGCGCATATTTTCCAATCAATTTGACGTGCTGAAGAAGTATTACAAAATTACATTGGCAAAGTTTTTGCACCATGCCAAAGGCAGCACCAACAAAATGCAACTGTTGTGTGAAAACTAACGAAAGAGCAACGCAATAACAACAACAATGGCTGCGGAAAAAGTTTTTTCTAAAAGCATTTGGTGGAAATTCAACAATTTCAATTATATTAATTGCCTTCCCAAAACACGTTGCAAAAATAATTTAATTGAATTGAAAGGTATGCAGATGCAACAAGCGAGAAACTATGCAAACCAAAAAAAAAAACACAAATTTTACATTTTTCAGTTTTTTACGTTTTCAATTTTCATGTTAAAACACAAAGAAGAAATGGAAATTAGCTCAATTAAATTTCGGTGCGGCCTAATGAGCCCGATAGCGCATTACAAACGCCTTTCGGTGAGAGTTTTTTTCTTTTATTTTGTTGTTCTTGTTGTTCTACGCCATTAATGTGGGGGCAATGGCATGGGGCATGCCACACCAATAAAAGCAAAAAGGCAAAATGGAAGCGAAACGAAACGTAACGAAACGAAACGTAACGAAAGCAAATGAAAGCGTAGCCCGCTAAAATTGCCAACGTTGCAGTTCAGGTCTTTTCTATTTGCAGCCAAGCCCAGAGCCCGGCCCCACACCGGCCACGGCCCAGACCCGGACACGGATTCGGTTTTGGATCCCGGGCAGCCATGTTGATTTCATTTCATTTAGCAGCGAGTCGAAAATTTGCAGTTGTCGTTTTTGCTGTTGTTGCTGTTATATGTGAAATTTTCATTTTGTCTTTGTGCCTTTGTGTCTATGTGTGTCTGTGTGTGTGCCTGTGTGCTCTGTTGCCTGGCCACGCCAACGCGAAAACATTTCGCGCGATGGCCGCCATCGCGTTGTCGTTTTCCAATGGCGTCTGGCTGGCTATTAGTATAACAACCCAACAACAATGGCTGGGGGAAGAAGAAGCACCATTAAAAAAACAAAGCACACAAGTGCCGCTTAAATATACCCTATACATACATAAATACTCGTATATTCAATCAAAAACTAGCTCCTACGCTGTTAAATTTAACATGAAGTTAGCTATTATTTAGATTTTGTATCCCCGGGCCAATGAGAAGTTGCTCGACAAGCCAATAAAAATCAATAATTAACTAAAAATAGGTAGTTTGGCCCAACATGCCTATTATCAGCTGTTAAATATTTAATCTATATGTTATTTTTAACAGGCAGAACAGAACAGAGCTACAAAGCATGTTAAAGTGATTGCTTGCTTTGGCTCTAACTTTGCATTTTCCCAGGCCTTGCAACATAAAAGAAGCCCTCAAAGAGATCACAAACATAAACCTAGCTACAGTATCATAAAATATGTTAAAATATTGGTCATGACAAACTTCATGTTAAAGTTATAATGTCCTTATCAATAAAAGCGCAACGTAGCACGTAGTAGGTACGTTGGCAACGTGTTGGAGGGGTTGGCCTAGACCTGGTCAAAAGGTGGATAGATAGATGGATGTCATACGCTTGGGAAAACGTGCAGTGAACTGTAGGCAAGACAACAAACAGCAGTTGGCCAAGTTTCAAAGCTGCTATTGTTGTTGTTGTTGCTGTTCCTTAACGACAAATCGAAAATAACAACAGGCCAACAGGCAAACATCAAATATGGCGGCGGCACTCAACAGCGCCACACACAAGGGAGAGCTCCGGTTGCGGGTCCGGGCTTCGGTCTCCAGCTACGGCAACGACAACGACTCTGTCTCTGCATCGCCTCCGTCGCCGGCTCCCCAAACGCATAAAGTGCCCAAAACAGCAGCAGCAGCAGCAGCAGCAGCAACAGCAGCACTCAGAGGACTCCCAAGCTCCCAAACTCTGATGTTTTGTAGCAAAAGACCGGCAAAAAGCAGCAACCGGTAAAATCGAATGTTCACTTTGCACACACCCATACACACACACACATACAAACACGCACACAAAGGCGTGTATTCTCTCTTTGGCAGATTGACTCCCACGCTTTCACACACACACACATACGTGCATAATGTTTGAAATTTTGCACACATTTACAATAATTGTAAATGTGTTGAAAATCGTTTGCACAACTGTGAGCAACCGAACAGACATGTGTTCGTGTGTGTATGTGTGGGTGACAATGTGTGTGTATATGTGTATCTCAGTGCTTGCTCATTTGTTAAGGGGAAATGTGCTTTGTCTGTCTCCGTCCATATATATATGTGTGTGAGAGTGTGTGCGTAGGTCCTGGTGCTGAGCGCAGCCATGTTTTTTTTTTCAGCGAGCTACAAGGCGCAAGCGCCATCGCGTACACTAAACAAAATTGGGTAGTAAGACATGTAAAAATATGGTTAACATGCAACATGTGATCTGGCTAATGATATGCACATAGCTGTTTTATCAATTACAACTTAATTCGAGGCTTTACTAATGATAATCATAATCGATATTATCGATGGGGGTATTCAAAATAAGCACCCGTTGATCTTTGTCGGCTACTCAAGGACATTTATACCAAATTTCGTGACTCTTATAATCTCTAAAATATGCCTAATATTTATCGATTTTGGGATAAATATGGGAGTTATGAGAAATGTTACCGCACATTGCATTTAAAATCTTTAATTTCTTATTATTATTATTGTCATTGTCATTGTCATTGTCATTGTCATTGTCATTGTCATTGTCATTGTCATTGTCATTGTCATTGTCATTGTCATTGTCATTGTCATTGTCATTGTCATTGTCATTGTCATTGTCATTGTCATTGTCATTGTCATTGTCATTGTCATTGTCATTGTCATTGTCATTGTCATTGTCATTGTCATTGTCATTGTCATTGTCATTGTCATTGTCATTGTCATTGTCATTGTCATTGTCATTGTCATTGTCATTGTCATTGTCATTGTCATTGTCATTGTCATTGTCATTGTCATTATAATTATCATTATCATTATCATTGTCATTGTCATTGTCATTGTCATTGTCATTGTCATTATCATTATCATTATCATTATCATTATCATTATCAATATCATTGTCAGTATCATTATCGTTATAATTAACATTATCATTATCATTAGCATTAGCATTATAAATGTATCGATAGCTATATAACTCTTGCCTTCGGCTAGCACACTAACTTGGGATCAAAGAGCCCGGATCCTCGATGTCCTTTTTCTAGTTAAAGTCTTACCGAATGTTATTCTCTAAGTTTGATTTCTATTCGCCCCCAATTTAAATGGAGAACCAATCAAAATATTTTAAGACCTCGGGTGCATACTATACCATGCCGCACACGGTTAATGCTAAGTGCTGCAGTGCCTTTATGCATTTCAAATGCACTCATTACTGCTAACCGCATTAGTGAACTCCCCTCTCTTCCACATAGACACGCACACACACTCTGCCGCCTCTTCCCCTACAGAGCTGCATGTAACACGTACTAAAGTCAAGGCAGGTTGCAAACAAGCATGACAAACAAAATTCAAGCAAGGAGCCACTTGAGATTCGCTGCCAGGGAGCTCAAGGGAGTTCTGCAGCACTGAGGAGCTGCTGGCCTTGTGGCTGCCACCTGGCAACGCATCTGTGCAACGAACAGTGCTTGGCAACGGCTTTTATAGTCGGGCCACAAGCTCTATAGCGTTGGCTTTTGGCTGCGCACAACATGGCGTATAAGCAACGGAGACGAACACGAATAGATATGACACACACACACACAGCACACACTTGGACAAATGCGTGGCGCTCTCCCAGATATTGCCATAGCAACCTTGACTACCTGTGCTCATGCCCCGCCAGCTTAACCTCGTGCTGGTAGCGGCGAGGGCAGCTGCCACGTCAACGGCGTCGCTGGCGGTCGGCAGCTGCCACCTTGAGTCCATGCCCCTCGCCGCCGCTGCTACATGTTGCGGCCATTTTTCGTTTTGCCTGACTGAAGCCGGCTTCGGCTTTCGGCATTTAGCTTCGGCTGCCTTTGTACAGTTTTCTGGCGCAGACTTTTGGTTTTAATGGATCGATGACTCTTTTGCAGCAACATCAGGCCAGGCTTCAGGCTGTGGCTCCTGCACCAACTTTTTTACCACAGCGGCCACAGTTTGAGGCACTTTTTGGCACCCTTTCCCCTTTTGCTTTCCACCCAACCAAAAAAAACAAATAAACTTTTCCTGTGTGGCGGGCAAAGTTTTCCTTTTCTGGCATGTGCCATGTAAAAATGTTTTCATATGTGGTCGCTGCATGTACATAGATACATGACATCGCAATACATACATATACATATCTATGCATGCATGTTTGTGGCTTGTGTGCACATATATGTGTGGCCATGTATGTGCCTTTTGCCGTGTGCCGATGGGCACAGGTGTGATGACAAGGCGTGTGCTGATTAGATTTTAGGCTTGGCTGAAACCAAGATGCGGCCAGGTAACGGTTTTTCGCCCTCTAAGCTTGACGCATTTCTAGGTTAGCTGGTTATCCCTTTTGGAGCTTAAAGTGCTATTACAAGAAAACTTGAGATAGTCGGTTGCAATATTATTTGTGCTAAAGAGATCAAAAACAAAGTGGGCGGCTCTAGACAAGGACATGGTTTGAATTAAATTCGTTTTACTTCGCTTTTGCTCACATGTTTACAAGTTTATTCAGACCTTGCTTTTAGTTATTCAAGGCATGTTTCTAAAATGTTATATTGGAATTCATGCCTGTGAAATGATTATATATTACAGATTCT